ACATTATTCAAAAACGATTTGTCCTTAGTTTTAAATCTTTCCGCAAATTCCAATCGCCCCTTTTTGTTTCTCCGTAGAGATGTGAGGTGTTTTCATCGGTACCCGACCATATAGACTATTAGAATACAATGCTCGCCTGATCGTGCTGACACTAACATTCCGTCCGGATGTTCTGAATATTTCTGCCGATAATTTCACGGCACTCACAATTGGACCTATCTCCGCAGCTCTTACAACTGACCTTGTTTCAGTATTATTAGGTCGTTTTGGTCTAACTGAATGTGGTCTATCTTCTATTTTACCATACTTCTTTTGCTTACCAATGACTTTGTTTACTGTACTATGACTTCATATTGTCAAATTGGTATGCTGTCCGCTAATTTTCAAATGCAAATAATATCAAAAATTTGTTGTTAATTTCTTATAAGAACAATATTTAATTTGTTAATGATAATTGATTTCAAAAATTTTAAGTTTTTACATTGAAATAAAGATGGAATGTATGAGGAAAAGGTGTACACTGTAACCAACTGAGCAAGTGTACCGACTGCAGTCGATGTTGAAGTCAACGGAACTTTCGAACTCCTTTAATTTTCAGAAGGAAGTGTCAACAAAATGAAGATATCGCATTTTTAAGCTCCCGAAGGCAATGACGGTGCACAAATTGAGATGTTAGTCGAATGAAGAAAAAACAGATTTTTTCTTTTTTTGTTTACTTTTCATTAAACTGATAGTGAAGATTTATTCAAGATATAACAGCTTTTTCACAAATTTATTGCAAAACACTCTCAATCAAGTGGCTACCTTTATTAGCACTTACAAAACGACACCTTTTTTCTGCATTTGCCTTTACCTCTCAGAGCATCTCGAGTGTTATAACGCCGATTTCAGCACGAATGTTTGCCTAGAGTTCATCAATAGTTTGAGGTTGGTTGGCGTTAATTGTCATTATAACAACGTGTTGTTCCCGTGTCAAACGATCCATGACAAAAATTGTACTGAATTGACGTTTCCAAAACATATCTGATCCAATCGCTCGGTTGGTAAGTGTGAAAGTTTTTCAGCGTTTACATACCGACATAGAAGGTGGAGCACACTGTACATTCCTTCGTTTGGAGCCTGGCTGAAGTATGCGCCATTCAGCGCGACCTTTGGTTTCGGGCTCGCTGAAGGTTGGCGGCTTTTGAGTGGCGAGGTGTTATTGCCGCTGGAAGAAACCGTAACAAAGTGTGGTTAGAAACGTACAACGCAGTTTTTTTTTATTAATGGTGAGATTTTCCTTTATTATTGTGTTTCGAGGTAAGGTTGTTCAATTCGAATTTCGCTAAGAGCCGCGTGATAGTCCCGTTTTGCCTGCGGCGATGCATAACATTTTCGATTTGTCTGAGACGCCTCTCGGTGAGGGTCTCCTGTTTCCAACGGCTACTAAATTAATGGTGAAACGCTTTGGGCTTCTACGCTTTGACTTTATTAAAGAAAGCAGAAGCATTAGACTGTATGGCTAATAGCGAAGCGCCTCGAATAATTTGGCGGGATATCTTCGGCTGCCTGAAAAACGTGCGAATGCTACTCGAAATGCCTCAGTGGTAGGATCGGAGCATATTTTAGATACACAGTTCGTACTTTGTATTTAAAAAAACTATTTTTTTTTGTTAAAAGCCTTAGCACCGTGATGAAATATTTTTGTCTCATCATTTGAAGCATATCGCGCGTTTTTTGCATGGAACGGCAGTGCGCGTAAAATTTCAAAGCGGCAAAATTTTGATGTACTTGGGATGATGATTAATGCACATTAAAGCAAAGTGAGAAGTGAACTTTTTTATGTCAATTTTTTTATTTTTTTTTGTTATACAGAATTAATTTATTTACTGGATCTGATATAATATAAGCCTAACAGTAAGTGTACAAATCTTAAAAACTAAATTGCAAACATGATAGCCCGAGTTATTTAACTCTGAGCCCGTTTCAAAGTACGGCGGTCTCTTAAGAAGGGGGGAACACCTCTTCGCTGCAGGCGGGAATTTCTTGATGGGTTGCTAAAGCATTAGCTAGCGGATTTGGATGATTTCTTAGCTTTGTGAGGTACTTCGTCCTGCTTCTTTCAATTTCAGGCTTAACCGGTAAAATACCAAGGTCTTGATGAATGTTAACGTTACGAACGTACCATAGTGCGCCCGTTAGTGCTCTTAAAATTTTGGACCGGAACCTCTGTACTTTATCAATATTAGTTGCATAGGTCGTACCCCACAGTTGAATACCATACATCCAAATTGGTTTAAATACTGCGTTGTAAGGACTGTGTAGTATAATTTTAGACCGGAGTTTTTATTTAAAAGCCAATTTAAACTAGCGAATTTAAGCGAATTGCAGGACATGATTGCGGTCTTAAAGTACGTGACGTGTAACGTGTTTACACTTTTGTTCATTAGCTTTAATTCTTAAGTTTTTTAACCATTCTTCGATGAGGAGTAAATGATCACTGCTCTCTTTAAGGGCATTTATCCTGGCATAAAATAGCTGTGTCATCCGCAAGATGTCTGCACTTTATATGATATATAAAATATAACCTTTATGCCAAACTTTGTCGAACGCTTGTGCTACGTCAAGAAAGATTGCACAACAGTACTCCTTCAGCCCGAATGCCTTTCTGATTTAATTAGTTATTCGGTTACCTTTTTTGATAGTACTATGCTTTTCACAAAAGCCGAATTGGTGATCTGGTATAACATTCTTACGGTGGAGAAAAGGAGATATTTTTGATATCAGAATTTTTTCGAATAATTTGGAAAGACTGGGTAGTAGGCTTATTGGTCTGTAAGAAGCCACCTGTGTGTGTCAATTAGTATCTTTTTCTAAAGAGAAATAGCAAGATTGGGATACCTCAATTAAACGCTGCTTTGCGAATTGGCTTTCAGAATGAATCAGATAAGGCATGAAAGTAGTTTGTTGTCTTTCTTTATTTTGAAAATTGGACACGAAACGGAAAATGTATGCAGTCTCGCGAATTGGGCCGAGAGAACGAACACATTTAGAAAATCTGAAGATACTGCGTGCTTTGCCAAGAGTCAATGTGGTTTACGATCTACAATACTTTGATCCATGCCACTTTAGTCCGTGCCACCAGAGTGAATTGGTGGCTAACCCTTGGGGATGGGTGCAAACCCCAATGCCGAAATTACCAGGATTATTTCCGTTTGTCACACTCCGCTTGTGGTATGTTCCTGATTATGAGAGGTGCGAATAGATACGAATGTGTCCCTTGTGAACGGCGGCTTATCGAGTCGGGCCAGTTCGATTTCAGAAGCTGACCGGAAGAATGGATTGCATGCTACAAGCCCAAGCGATTTTTGGATGATAGCAATCAGTTTCACTAAGACTACTGCTGATGATGTAGAAAAAAAATTCACATACATACATCGACTGCGGCTGCTCTAGCAGATTGCTCTAATCAATTAAAATTTCACATTTTATTTTTCTCGCTGGTTTCTCCAAAACCCTTCTATCATCAAAAAAGCTATCACGGCTTGGATCATTTTATTTTTAATTAAAAATCATAAAAGTGTAAAAAGAAGTTCAAAAATTAGATTAATTTGCTAAGTTTGTTTCTAGCTAATTCAAAAATTGGTAATGCTCATCTTCGAAAAAAGCAAACGCATTTAAAAACTTGTGATATGAAAAAGCAGCAGCTGTAACCCCTGCATAACGCAGCTCGATTTTTGACCTTCGCAGAGCTGCAAAGTCATACAGTCAAATTGCGGAGCAAGTCAAATGCTCCAAAATGATGGTATTTAATACCTTAAAGCATATCCAGAATTTTGAAACTGCTGTAAATGTTGTAGGCAAAAAAAGGCTCCGGAAAACTTCAGCAGGAATAGACCATAGTCGAAGAGAATAATTGCACAGCTTTTGGTATAATCTGAACTTCATGGAAGGGTAGCACACAAGAAACCGCTTCTGACCAAAATCCAAAAAAAAAACGACGTGGAGACTTTGCCCATTATCATTGGTCTTGGACTCAAAACCAGTGAAAGTATATCGTTTGGAGTTAAAAAACAAAAATTAACCGATTATTCGTGATGGTCGGCCCATTAATTCTCGTATGTATGGCTGCAGACTATGATGGCTTTGTTGGTATTTTGCGCATGAAAAAAAATATAATGTTTTTATATAATATTGTACTAATGTTCTCTGATGCGTTATGCATATTGTCAAAGCTTACCCGACTATAAATAGTGCTTTCTGACCGCCCTTCTTAGGGGTTGGGTGAAGCCCACTCAGGTTCCAATCCGCATTTATCTACCACCGTAAATAGGTCTGACGATAATCCATCTGCACCCACCGATTTGTTATTCTTCAGCCGGGCGATCGCTATACGAACTTCTTCATTGTTGAGTGTTAGAACCACTCCATTCTCTAAACCATTACCACATTAACACAGCACTGCAATTAACCAGCTGGCCTTCTCATACAAGAGAGAGTACATTCCAGGTGCATCTCCTCAAATTTCTTCTTTGTTAATGAATAAGATGCCTCATTTTCATACTCTACTTTTGGCAAACATTAAATAAGATTGCAGTAGTTGCTTTTGATTTAATGCAAGCTTTCTAGTGCACAAAGTTTCGGATTTCTTCTTAGAAATCTTTTACTCTTAGTCAAATCAAAATTTTAAATTAATTAAGCAAAATTAAATTTTTTTGTATTTTAATTTAGTGTTATATTTTTTATTTAATTTATTTAATTAATTTTAATAATATTTTACTTTTACTTTTACTAAATACAGTGATTAAGTCTTTTAATCTTTAGTGCGATACATTTGCTTAGCTACAACAATATTTAATTTACATGCAAAACGATTTTCGCTTATTTTCTTATGTATATACGTATGTATGTATGTATGTATGTATATATATATGTATATATAATAATTATGCATATACATATAAATACTTTAAATTTAACTCAATAATTAATAATATTAAAATTGTAATCATTTAATTTAATTCTTATTTTTTTTACAATAATAATGTAATAATCGTGCTATATAAATATAGTGAGGAGCAACGCGTCTTTCATAAGAAACCCATATCGAGCGCCGTGTAGAGCGCACGTATATCACTGTGCGACGATATGCGCCAGAAAGGGAAGTTGTACGTTTTCGCCGCGTTCTCTTCCTCCGTGCCATCACCGATCACCACATAAGTACCTTTTCGACCGAAGCGGGTCATAATACGTTCGAAACAGGTGTCATGGCCTAAGAGACAAATAGAGGAGACACGAAATGTGAGCAAAATGTATTGGCATTTTCTAATGCACAACTCACCAATCTTGTGTGCGCTGTAAATGTTTTCGATGGAAAAAATGCCGCCCAAGCCGAAGAGTAGTACTTTGGCCAAAGCGGGCGCAAGTTGGGTCTGTGTCACCAACACATTTACACAATTCTCACGTTGGGCGATCATATTCAGACACTTTGTGGCCAGCGAGGCCCAATTGTCGGTAGCCATCTCGATATCTGAGCGTATTTGTAGCCAGGCGTCGCGCTTCTCGGGACCCAATAGACCACCAACACTAATGTAATGACAAAAAAAATCATAAAATTAATATATAATATATCAAGTACACCTGCTTTTTTAATATGCTAGATACTCACTTTCCCCTGTAGGTGTTGTAGATTTCTTTAATTTTCCTATACCTGAATGCCAGTTTGCGCATCCAATCGACACCGCCGCGTACTCCCGTCGGAAGACAGAGATTAGGTGGTGCACCTGGTGGCGCGCCTGAATGAAAACCATCCGTAGCGAAATTGTAATTGCTCAAATCTTGTCCATTATCATCGGAAGACACATCGTCAATGTGTACCTGATCACACTCCTCTATCTCATTGAAGAAGAAATGCGTATCGGCCATGTTGAAGACCATCTCCTCCATGCGAAAGGCGATTGTCAGTAGCGTGCTTTGGTCTTTGGTATAGCGATTGGCGAAGGAACCGGAGAGTAGCGTATGGAAAATGATTATTGTCTCATCCAGATCCCAGATGAAGACGCGTTCTGGCGGCTTGGCCGCATCACTGTTTGGTGTGTCCGATGTGGTGCTGCGTGTTGGACTCGGCTGTTGATGGCGTCGACCACGTGAGCGTCCACTTTTACTAGTTGGCGTACTCTTGGCATGAGCAGCCGTTGTTGCAGCCGCTGAATTTGTGCTAAGCGCTGCAGCGCTGGCATTTGGCGAGATCGGTAGGGGCGAGTGTGGTGAGTGTGTAGAGTGCAGAACTGGTGTAGTCGAGTGTGTATCTGTGGGACTCTCTGACAAATTGGAAGCGCCTACATGGAAACCATGGCTAGCAGCGCTTGAACTGGGTGAACTAACGGCGGCGTATGGCGAGTAGCTTGCCGGATTGTAATAGTTGCCATATTGATCATTATAGTAGCCGCCGTAGTCCTGTTGCGCTGCCGCTGCTGAGCCGAACTGTGCAAAGTTATTGTATCCATAAGCAGTTGGATATAGCTGCGTTGAGTTGCTATTACCTGCCGCACTCGCATAGGACGACGTCAAGTATGGCGAACTGGGTTCAATTTTCGTAGCTGCGCGCGCCGCCGCCGTTGTGTAAGGCGTACCGTAGGTGGAGTAGAAGGGCGGCGTGTACTGCTGCATGCTGTTGTAGTAGTTATAGTAATCGTGTTTGCTGGTATCGTATGCTGCCGCGGCAGCTGCGGCAGCAGCCGATGAGTTAACCGCCGCCATGGCAGCGCTGGATGAAGAGTTGGCGCCAATGCCCGCCACACTGCTCTCCATGCCGCTCAACCCGCTAACGCCGACCGAAGAGCAACTGTAGATTGAGCTTGTTGTACCGCCATTGCCCGTCAAGGCACCGTTACCATCCAACTGTCCGACACTACCGGCACCCAAAGTAGATTGCGCCTCAATGCCAGCGCTACTTGCATTTACATTGGCTGAACCACCGCCACCGCTGCCTCCGCCACTGTTATTAAGACCCGGGCTACGATTCTCTGATTTAACAGATGTCAGATGCGTCTCCGCTGGTAACCAATGCGACATGCCCGCAACACCTCCGCTAACACCTAAATCACCATGACGCCCCGCACTCGTCGTCCCTGAACTATTCAGATTGGCATCAACGCCACCATCAGATCCACCTTCAGCCGCAGAATGTGGGTGCTGATATGTCGAAAAGCTACTGCCGGGCGATTGTGTAAATGACGCTGCAGCATTGGCATTGAGAGACGAGGGGTAGGCGCTTAGCCCGGAAGACAGGCTGCAACTGGAATTCAGGTTGGGCGCCGTATTGTAATGTCCACTGAGTGATGACAATGAAGTTATGGTTGGCTGTAGTGGTTGCGACTGTGGCGGGAGCGTTAGCGGACTGCATTGACCGGTTGCGGCTGAGGAAGCTGTGGTAGCTGTGCTCAGTGGCGATTGTGTATGTGGCAGGGAGTGTGAATGAAGTTGTGAAGTATGGTGTTGGGGCAGCTGTGATTGGTGGTGTTGTTGTTGCTGTTGCTGCAGCTGCTGATGATGATGGGGCGATTGAGCGGTGGCTTGAGAGCAAAGACTAGAAGCAAAGAGCGAAGAAAATGGTTTTAGTGAATAAGTGGTACGAAATTACGGATTTTTTATAAACATAAATATTTTTAATATATTACTTATGTAATATATATATGTAAAAATAATAATATTTTTTTTTATTTATTTATTTACAAGAGAACTAATTATAAATAATTAATTCACTAAAGAAACAAGCACTGGCTGCCAAGGCCTTCGGCTGTCAATATTAAACATAATGTATACCTTAAGAATTTACATTTACCGACTATGCCTATGTCTATTTACAGCATTAAATATCTCTAATATTACATAATTTAAGAAATTTGTTGATAGCCCGGATGTTATCGAGACTTGGTGTTTTAAGAAGGTTTGATGGCTTCATGTTACCGAATATAGTTGACCTGTTTTGGCGCAGGTTAATGCATTCATCTANGGGCTTGTTGCAACGTTTTTTTGTATGGCCAAGAACTTGACAATTCTTGCACCTCATAGGGTTTGGATAGTAGGGTTTCACCTTGACTGTGTACCAAGAAACATCGATTTTTTCAGGTAGATAGTATCGATCGAAAGTTAGGAGTACAACTCCACTTTGAGTTGGTTGTCCTTTCACAAATTTTGGAAATTTGTAGGCTGCTGTAACGCCCTGTTCTTTTAAATTTTCAATTATTTCTTCTACACTAACATCGTTCAAGCAAGGAGCGTAAATGGTACCTTTAGAAGAGTTGAGATTTGCATGCAGGTCGATTTTAACATTGCAAATTCCCGCCAGCTGCTTTGTTGCTGTAAATTTTTTTGCTATTATGCTATTCTTGACAAGTAGTAATAGGTTTCCATCCCTAAGTTCACTTATTTTTATAATTTCTGAACTAATTCCTTTTAATGCCTTATGAACAGCGAAGCAAGAAAATTTGTTCATGGTTTTATTTGTTTCCAATGAACTAACGACTAAATACTTGGGACTTTCTTTCGTTATTTTTGGTAGTAATGGGAAAAGTTCGTCTTTTGGAATTTGATTTCCTTTCTTTTTTTTTTTGATTGAGGACTAGGGGATAATAAGGCGAACCTATTATTCCCTAGGGAACTACCCCGAGGGGGCATGTTTGCACAATTTTTCACTATCTTGTTTACACAAAAGGTAGGAACACGTGCGCGAAAGCAAAAGAGAATAGTAAATTGGTATATGATAATAGCACTCACAAAGTCAATGTGTGAACAAACTAATCACTGAGAGCACAACCGAATACGTTGAGTGGCAGTCGATGACTGAAAAAAAAATAATAATATATAGTGTAGAAAGAGAGGGAGGAATGAAGAACTATCTAGTTTTTGCGTATATATGCGACCCTGGCGAGTAATGAACAAAGAATAAATATGTTATTGTATGCTTACATTACGACTACATCTCTAACGGAATGTTTTTTAACAAACATTGATGAATCTGAGTTTTAAGTTCCCCCTTTTTTCTTTACTGATGTAGATATCACTTACCTCTAACTATTAAGAATAGGGTCCCATTCATTCCTCTTTTCGCTGTTTGGCACAAAGTGGAGATACCAAGTACAGCCAGCCCCTTCTCTACCTGGTCTTTCCAACAGAGTGGATGTCTTCTTCGTCCTCTACTTCCCCCTTATATTTTGTAAGTTCATCGTTTCATTGGATAGTTCCAAGAGAAACGAAGTTTTCTACGACTTCAAAGTTATGACTGTCAACAGAGATGTGGGATATATGGGATGACTGATAACAAGGGATATTTTGTCTTCTTAAAGAAGCCACACATAAGGAATCACCTTGTGTGAAACCTTGAGCTCTTATCCAAGATTTGGCACATGGTGTGCATCTGGCCAAAGGTTGATTTATCAGATTTAAAGTCACATTCATAAAGTCCAATCAGATTTTTGACGGTAGGCTCTATATGAACTTACATATATGCGATATTAAGTAGGCTTATCCCATGATACCTGGCACAGACTGTGGGATGGCAGATCACACTTAGGTTCCAATCGTCGTACATGCTTTCATCCGACCATATTTTGTAAAGAATCTGATGCGTATTTATATAGCTTGCCCGGTAATACATCGAGCCCCTACGCTTTGTTGTTTTTAAAGCGGGCGATTGCTATCCGAACTTCTTCATTCATTCATCATTCATCTTATTTAACTTAATGGAAATATTGTACAACTCTTTTAAAAAATTACTGAATTAAAAATAATGCTCTAGGAGAAGTCACCCAAAAGGAAACATGTTTACTATCTTTCTTATGAACCAGAAAAACTGCTTTTAGTATTCGAGATACCTGCTTGCTTAATACGTCCATTTAAGTGGAGGCTCCAGATGCCAAGGCATATAAGCGGCAGTAGATATTATAAATGGACGTCCCTGGATAATACGCCACTCAGTGATGCGAGAAAAACCACCTATGCGCCCAGGACTTACTCTCCGTCATTGATACAAGCACTAATGGTGTGTCAATCATTTGCAAATTTTGTAAGGAACTTTTGACAACGTTAACCAGCTTCCATCCAAACGACCGAAGAGCACGCGTTGAAGATAAATGAAAAATCCAACAACATTGTGATCGATAACAAGTGAAAGTCCGAATTGAATTTGGTACCGAAAGATAATAACATTTTATTTAAAACTAGAAGAAAATAATTGTTGAATAAATGATCCCGGATTAAAATTGTTCCATAAGCATCAACAATTGTTTTAAATGTCGGAATTCGTTGCACATCCTGAGGACAATCGATAGAATTACAGTGAAATTTCAATTATTCCAATCCCAATTCAGGAGAAAATCAATATATGATTATAACTACAATATATTAAGCGAGAATATAATTTTAATTGTTTTTGAGGTCTGTATTTTAAATTTTTTTTTATAAATTACAAGATTACAAAGTACTCGATGACCCAATCACGAATTAAAAAGCAACTAAAAATTAACGCACTTGATAGTTGTTGGTCAGTAAAGGAATTGATAATTACAACGACAGATTACAAGGCTGATGTTGGCTTCGTAGTAGAACACTCGCCTGCTAAGTCAGAATTCGTTGCTTCGATCCCTACCAGAAGAAGGCTGATGATAAGATGTGGTGATCTCTGAAACAACTGTCAGTTCAATCATTTGCCACCTTCCTTTGTTGTAAAACAAAATTTTCGCCCAAAAAGCAAAAGGCTTTCAAGTCAAGCTCATTAACTTATAAAATAGAGAATATCTGTAAGCAAGGGGCTTCATCTGTAAAAGCATTTGTAACAATGAATGCAGCAGCCATTTCGGGGCTAGAGCCACAACTTTGCTGCTCAAACAAAAATAAAGTTTCTTATGATCAACTTAAGCAACAGTCTTTTTCAATACCTTAAGAATAAGATAAAAAGTCCTGAGACATTTACGAACCTCTTACTGTAGTTTTCGAGAACTAAACCTCAACTTAAGGAGTCACGTAATTCTTGGTATAATAAAATTTTATTAGCTTTTTTTTCTCGAAAATTCCGGTATAACTTTCCAGTCAGTGTTAGATCGAGAACAGGACGAACTTTATTTTGGAGTTTCGTAAGAAATCATCAATAAAGGGTGATTTTTTAAGAGCTTTGGAAAAAATTTCCAAGAAAACATCGCGATCGGTACGGTCCATATAATTTAATGTTTAAAGATTATTTCATGCAAATTTGACCGTGACTGCGCCTCGAATGGCCGATCCGCCAATTTGTTCCAATTTTGGCATACTTTTTCCAACATTTCGGTAGGTATCTCATAAATAAATGCTTCAATGTTGTCCTCCAATGCGTCAATTGCCTGTATAAACATTAACATAACCCCACACCAAATAGTCTAAAGGCATTAAATCGCACGATCTAGGCGGCCTATTGATCAGTCCCGAACGTGAAATAAAATGTTCACCGGAGTCGCCTCTCAGTAAGTCCATTGTTAAACGTACTGTGTGGTATGTGGCATCGTCAAAGTCGAGCTCTTGTATTTTGGGCCAAAAAATGTTTGATATCAACTCACGCTCACCAATCACAGTTACGCTACGATTCGCATCATCTTTGAAGAAGTACGGTCCAATGATGCCACCAGCTCATAACCCGCACCAAACTGTGACTTTTTCTGAATGCATTGGTAGCTCTTGCAATTTTTCTGGCTGATCTTCACTCCAAAATCGACAATTCTGCTTAATTACGCACCCATTAAGCCAAAAATGAGCTTCGAAGCGAGCGATGAACTTTCTTAACAGAGCAAGCATTGTGATAATAAAATGCAATATTTTCAAGAGTTGTTCGGTTGTAAGACGATTTATGGATAAATTATAGACCAAACGGTAGATGTTTGACAGTGATACAAAACACCAAACGTGCCTCAGCTCTTTAAACCAGTGTTACCAAAAAAAAATATAGCTAAAAAATCACCCTTTATCAAGCTTTGAAGATCTGGTTCTTTTGACTAAATCAATTGGTGGTTCTTCACTAAGCAATTACTGAGAATTCACATACATAGTTGGGTCGTAATTCTTATTATGATTGACATCAATCATTCTCTTTTAGCCCCATTAGCATTCAAGTTATTTATTACCATTCGTTCATTTGATTGGCTATATTTTATTAGGCTCCTACATACGAGTACGTGGGTCTTTCTAATAGAAATTAATTGAAATGTGGGTTCCACAAGCTGAAACTCGCTGGTTGATTGGTAGGTCGTTAATAGGCTAATAAGCTCAAGTATTATTAACAACAATTCTACAAAAAAAAAAAAAATATTGAATGGCAGTGAACCAGTGGGAAATCGGAATAGAATTGACATAACATAAAAATATATAAAATACTGCAATGGAATGTAAAAAAAAAATAAAAGTAAACAATTAAAATTAAGAAACAAAAGAAATAAAGTAACAGAACGTTGAAAATGTCGCCGACAGTGACGGCGACTAAAATGAGTAATAAAAAATCAATAATTCTTTGAGCAAACATAAAACTCATAAGAAACGTTAAGAAATATATATATATATGTACAA